TATAATATAACAATTGATTTTATTTTCTAATAAATTATTACAGAGTCTATTTTATAAATGTGATTTTATTTGCAAGAAGCACAAACTTCGTCATGTACAAAATCTGAGAATAATATTCATATAGAAGATGTTTATTCTGAATCATTTTCAACCACAACACGTAAAGCGGTGAAGATGGAGAAAACATTAGACAGATACTGAAACATTACCAACTTGTTATTCACATATTATCTTTGATAATTTCATTTATTAATTAAAGAGATTGCAGCTCTAAATAACCAACTTCATTATATTGTAATTTGATTAAATAAAAGAAGTAATTTAAAAATCGAATTTTTTCAAATATGTTCTATATATATTGTTAACATTACACAGTTCACTATAAATAAATCAATATTGTAATAAATCTATAAATAAATCAATACTACAATAAATCAGTATTATTAAAAAAAAAAGAAATGAATGTAGCGAAACAAAGGTAGTATTAATTTAAATTAAATTAGAAATTAATAATTCTAAAGATAAAGTTAGTCAAACAAATAGTACAACACAAATATAAGTTTTGATCAATTGTTTTTTTGGATATTTACTGATCAAGCTTAATTTTTTAATTATTTATGAAAAGTTATATACTTTGAAATATGTTGTCAGATCATTGAAATACGTTATTTTATGATTCTGAGTAACTTTTTTCTACACATATATTTAACCGTTGCTTGGTTTTATTTTCGAGATATTTGCCAAAATATATATTAGTTAGGTTTCTTCTCTCACTAGTGCAGGGCTTAGATTCTGGAGGCTCCTCCACTGCGTTGATGATTGAAGATTTTAATTTTAAAAAATATGGCACTATTCCGTCTCTTAGAGGAGACGCAGGATATTTTCTATGAAGATTTTCTCCACGTAAGAGAAGACAAAAATATCTATGTTAACCTACGTTTTTACTTTATAATATAAGATCTTTGGTTGTAAAATGAAATTATTATTTTGACTATATTGAATTAGTTAAAGTTATTATCTAGAGTCGCAATT